CAAGCAAAAAAAATTATCAAAAACCCCATATGGTGGGAGATCTTTCGCGGTTTTTCGCGTATATTGCGTAATTGATAAGAGATAAGCGATATCTGTTTCGGCCAATTTGTAGTGCCGGCTAAATACTACAACTTTTCCGAAGACACCAATTCGTTATCTCTTATCAGTTACGCGAAAAATCGCGAAAAACGCGAATTTTCTCTTATCATTTTCCGCGGAACTGATAAGAGATAAGGAGATAGTGTCTTCAAAAAATTGTAGTACTTGACTTGCTCTACAACTTTGCTGAAGGCACTCATCATTTATATCTTGTCAATTCCGTGAAAAATGAGGAGCCGAAAATTCACGTTTTCGCGGTTTTTCGCGTATTTCGCGGAACTGATAAGAGATAAGCAATATGTGTCTTCAGCAAAGTTATAGAGCGGGTTGAGTACTACAACTTTGTCAAAGACACTAAGTCGCTATCTCATATTGCAATCAAGTTTTGATTCAAAATGCACTTGGGGCGCTGTACGCCCCATGAAACGAAGTTACGGTGTAAACGCAACAAACGATCAGAGGGTTAATCACAAATCACTCTTAGTCAAAATGTCCCAAATTAGTTGACTGACTGAAAAAATAACTAAACGTGATTGTCTCTATACAAAACGCATGATTTTAATCAACTTTGCAGTTTTAGTTGTGTATCACTACATACCCGTGTGAAAAAGAAATGACTGACTGACTATAACTTCAGTTGACTTTAGTTGATTGAATTTATATTTTTGTTCTAAGAAAATCACTTGGTCCCAAATGAAGCAACTTAGATTGACTTGTAACTTCAAATGATTTCAGTTAATTATGATAGACTTACACTACACTTTGTACTGAAATATCAATCAAAGTAAGTCATTTTTGTCCCAAATTAGTTAACTGACTGCTCAGTTACTATTTTTTCACACGGGTACAGTTACATACAACTGAGTGACTGTTAGTCATTTTATTTGCACACGGGTACTCTTATCGCTGCGTGTGAAGTCAGTCACATTTGCACGTATATATTCTCAAACTTTTCGTATTCAACTATGCATATCAGTCATCAAAATCAATTACCATTAACAAAAAATCTATTTAATTAGTTTAGAATTAATTTCATTAATAAGGCAATCAAAATGTATCAAATCAATGGATTAACAAACGCAATCTTTTTTTCCTTCAAAAAACACCATTCAAAATGGACGGATTAAAAGACATAACAAACCTAACAGTGACCTTTCTATAGCTTAAGATGGTCGACGAAGCTCAACAACATTGTTTGCTTTTATTATAACAACAATATCTGGAGAGAAAAAACAAAAAGAAAAGTGAATCCATTCACAAGTCTCTTGAGAATAAATGAGTTCCTTAGTTTTAAAACACAATAATGTGCCTTCGAACTTTGTATTTTTGACGAATTAGAAAAAAAAAACAAATTAGGAACAATGAACAATTCTTTCGAAACGAATAAATGAGTGCGAATGATATTTTATAATAGACGAATGGATTGGTTGCAAAAATTACCGTTACTATTGTGGTCAATTCTATTCTCTTTTTGAGAATTATTCCATGTTCAGCTATACGAAGTATTGTAGCTGTGCGAAAAAGATGTTTTTCAGTGGACTCTTCGGCAACGACCTCCATCCTCAGGGAATTAGATGCTTTAGAACAGTCACTTCAATTTACAGACACTTTGGTTGAGATAACGTTTCGAGCATTACATTAATATTTCAAAAAAGGTTAAAATATTTCATCTTGTGTTAGTCACGCGTGAACGCTGTCCATTGTGACAAAGGGTGGAATTTTATGTAGAAATGACAAATGAAAATATGTGAAGATACCCGAGAAGAGAGTGCGTTGGTCGTGGATGCTGAAAGGAGAGTGAGTGCAAGAGTTGGGGTATATATTTGGGTTTCGTTTTTATGTGCTGTGTGTGTTTTTGTACGATTATTGTGAAATGCTTTTGATGTCTGCTATCAAACTCATACGCGACAAATGGTAATGCTTTTGCCATAGAGGAAGAGGTATGTGACTATTTTGTACGTGAGTGTAATGCATTTAGAATGTTGTGCAATCATCTGGTGTGTAAAGATCTCTGTTTTTTTTTTTCTTAAGCATATATGCTAACGAACATAACAGAATAATGACGAAAAAAATGTGCTGTGTGTATGCGAGCTCGAATGAGCAGGGCTGGAATTCTAAGTCATTCCACCAAAATCATTCGGAATTATTTTTTTTTCGTACATAAGACCATATTGGAGTGAAAGAGAGAGATTCCACTATTTTTCAGCGTTCCACCGGAATTATTTCTCACACATTCCACTCTTCCTTGAGTTATCGGAATAATTCCGTTGGAACGCTGAAAAATAGTGGAATCTCTCTCTTTCACTCCAATATGGCTTATGTACGAAAAAAAATAATTCCGAACGATTTTGGTGGAATGACTTAGAATTCCACCCCTGGTATTTTGTTCGACGCGCGATTCTGGCCATATATTTTAATCGATGCTATGAAGCGTATTTGAATTTCTTGTAATTTCGACAATTTGTATGAGCGCATGTACACAGCACACACAAAAACACATACAATAAGAACCTACGCGTTTTAATTGCTCGCATATTTACTCCAAAAATGAGAAGAAAAAAGAGCTTTTGCGACTCCATTCACAGTTCTCCTCGGGATGAAAAAAGCCGTACAAGAATCCATCCATGCAACGACAAAGAAGAAGAAATAGACGATTATTGAATCGGAGATCAAAGGGCTGATAATTTCGAAAACAAAAACGATTTAATGATATGATGCAGCAGCGGAGGCAATAGCATGTTTCTATGTACCATTTAAAAACATTTATTTACCTGTTTTAAATGTTGAGCTGCTACTCTTTCTCTCTCTCTCTCTCTGCTACTGCTTGTTTACGTCGTCGCCGCCTGTTTATAATGAAATTTGAAAACAATGGACAATGTGCTCTATTTATTATTGAAGCATTTCAAGTTCTTATTTACTGCCATATCTTTCCTAAGTCCAATGCCCATTTAAGTTTGTGTTGCCGTTGTCGCTGCTGCTACTCGTTACCCGCTTAATTTTCAAATGCTTCTGTAAAACCATTTTACGCTTACATTTTATTCATTGTTTACGAGCCTATATTTTGGGCGCTCACTTGCGCTCTCAATATAGAAAGGGAGAGAGCGAAACAACAGCCACTGAACATTAAAAGCAGAATATTAACATCAATAAAAGCTCAAATGAATCTGTAGCCATAGTACTTAAAAACGTTTAATGTCATTTTATGAGTTCGTAAGTGTAAATATATATATATATAACATGATGATAACAGCACACAAAAAAATCGATGAAACCACATGAATTGCACATGTATGTACTATGTACTTGTGTTAACACAAGCGCACACACACACACACACACACAAACACACAAAGAGCAGAAAATGCTCAAGCACTGATAACGTGCCAGGTATTTATAGCGTACGAAGCTCAAAATGCATATGCTGGAAATTGTTTTAATGGCAAATGTCAACAGGAATCATTCCCAGGTAACGGAGAACTTGATTACGATTGCAAAGCTCGAAATTTATTCGGGATGCTTAGATGAAATAATATACAGCAAAGCGAAAGGAAAAAAAAACGGTGTACATTTTCCATACTGAAATTGACAAATGGTTGGTCTTTTTCTGAGAATAGAATGGGTTTTCTTTTCTCATTTTCGAAATTTTTCACTACCTTTCGAAATGAAAATAGTTCAAATGATGAACGTTAGAAACAATTGGAATGTTGAAACGTAAATGATACAATGGGATTGTGAGTCACAATTTGTGACCAAAATTTCTATGAAGATATGCAAAGAAATGACGATGATCCAACCAATTTTCCGTATGTATAAAAACAAAAGTGAAAAATAAATCAAAACAAAAAACGGAAAGAAGGGTGCGAGTATGTTATGTTTAGCTCATCGCAAACCAGTATTTAAGCAGACAATCTGAGCACCAGCAATCGATTCAACATCGAATCGAGCTGATAACGCGTATTTGCTTATCGCAAAATGCGTCACAGGCACATTTTTCAGTTACTGCCGTTGTTTCCCCTTAGAACAATGCGAACACTGAATGATCTCTCGTACGATTTACGTGGCACTCTGTTAAAATCTGCTAACAAAGCATATTTATAGGCAACTAAATCCTCGTCTTGAATGGAATGCAAAAAATATCACGAATTCATTTAAATTGCTTATTTTGATCGAGGTCGTCTCTTGTTTTCATCCTAATACTATATGCTTATTTTCATCATTTGTTTCTCATTGAATTCTCATCGCGCATTGAGAAAATTGAATTTAATATGGTCAGAACATGAACAAAAACCTCTTTAAAACGTTCTGAAGAAGATGAGAGTACTTGTGCCAGTGCAAAAAGGAAGTTTGAAGGATTTTCTGCGACGAATTGATTCAATTTTGCACAGTTCAATCGATTTGGAGTTCTGCACGCTATGTCACTTCCAAACGCATACAATTTTATACTATTTATTTATAATTTACATCCTTTAATGAACCCATCCCTTGCATTCAAAATACATTCAGCTTTTGATACGTAGAACAACAGAATCTGGTTGTAATGTTATTATCAAGAGGTTCAAATTTTTTGGAAAATATTAGATGCACAAGCAGTTTCCGTGTATGCGGCAAGAGTTGTGCCCGGTTGCTAATTTGGTTATGCTTTGCTTTTCATTACGTTGTTGTGCATTTTGTGTACGTGTGTATGTATGTATGTGTTTTTGTGTATTTTACTTTGTTTTTCCACGCATTTTTACATAATTTCCACTAAATTCAATTCTGTCCTCCATTCAATTTGGGATTTGCATTTTTCACTGTATTCTAAAGCTCTAATTGTATTATTTTACAATTTGTTTTTTTTTTCTCTTCTCTTTTCTTCTCTTCGCATATTAAAAATGAAAAAAAACATGAACGTAAATTTTCAGACGACGACAGTGATGCTGATGAAATTACCGATTACTTGAACACAACCACCACCAGCGAAAATAACAAGAACGAAGCGACATCGTCGTCGCTATTGTCGTCGTCATCATCAACAATACTACAACAACCAATCTATTCGCATTCGACATTAAGTACGGAACGAGACTTGAACAACAGCAGCAGTAGCTGTAGCAGCAGCAGCACAAACTCAATTCATCATAACAATCACGTCGGGCTAAAGAAAACTTATGCAGGTTTAACTTCAGCTACGAAAATGGTAATTATATATATGTACATCATCAAACACAAATTAATTCAATTCACTCAAATCACCAGTATTCATTCATTTTTTGCTCATATCACAATATTGGTTTCACCGATAATAATTCATCGTTTTATCATTCTAATAACTGTTTGGCATCAAATTCAATATCATCATGTGAATTGTCTTCTTTTCCCTTTTCTTCAGCTTCCGCATTCACAGATACATCAGGCGTCGCCGCCTCAACAGGTTAGTTTTCTTTGGATTGATTCAATCGAAATCGAGTAAACCAACCAATAAATCGAATCAATACCATAAAAAAAACCATAATAATATCAACTTTGTCCAAATGAAACTTCGTTTAGGATCAACAACAACAGCATAATTACCACATAAACAACAATATGGTGCCAATAATTAGCGTAACACCACACAGTCCTGGCACTAAATTTAACAATATTTTAGGTAAACGTCATTTGGTTCATTCTTGAAGTTTTATATGACAAAAAAAAAACGATTTTCACGGAAATCTGAAGAAAAATTAAGTTTCAAATGAAAATAAAATTTGAATATTTTTCTTCCCCTTTAATTCCCGTTCTTCCAGAGGATACATTGAATCATCTGCAGAATATTCGCGAAAGTGTAGTTCAAATGAAAAATTCAACATCGTCGTCACATCATAACCACCATCATCATCATCATCAGTATTATATGGCATCAGGTCTAATAAATCCAGCGGTGAGTTTTCAATCACATTCCATTGTGTGTTCTTGTTTTGTTTACAACAGACTAACAAAAATGTGTTGTATTTTATTTTATTTTTTTTGGTGCACCGAACATTTAAAAATATTGACAATTTTTATGTTGAACCAATACACTATACCACAATCAAACACACATAAACACACACTCCGTCAATCAAAATAATTCCAAACCACGGAAACAATACAAACAAACAGTTGAGTGCATCACGTTTGTTTTCGTCGTGTCCATCGCTACCGGATTTGACGGCGGCTGGTAACAATGGCATTTGGCCAACGCAACAAACAATCGGCTTAAACAATGATCGCCGTAAATCATGGACAGCCATTGAAGATTTAACGATCGAATGTGGAAAAAGCTCACATAAAAGGTAAGCCGAACATTTCTTAGTTAGTTTATACCTATTCTAGCGACAAAAAAAAACTTATTCTTAGCATGCATATATGTTGTTGTATATAATAGATATAAATACAGGATGAAATTTTTTTTTCTTCCGTTGGTAAATGGATTTTTTTTATTTATTTTGACTGGTTGCGGTGGCGCTCAGCTACAATCAATCATAAACAACAATTCAACACCGTATTATATGCTATTTAACACATTAATTCATTTTCACATAAATCATATAAATTAACCGCAAATACCACCATTATTATCACCCACGCATCGTCTCATTTGCAACAACCACAACAACAACAAACGCAACGCAAAATTAGATTAAATTAACTAAACTGAATATTTTTTGCTTGTTGGTTTTTGGTGGTGGGGTGCTCAACGGCCTGAAATGAAAGAAAAAATGCTGAAATTAAATGATATGGCTAAAGGACAAAGAGCTCGCGCTTAAACATCAAATTCAACTAGATTTGACGAATTTCCATTTCATCTACCGAGCGCATGTAATGCCATGCACAACTTTTGAGAGAGAATTGAAATGCTTTTTGTTAAATTACTCTGACCGACTCTGATCTATTGATTTTGTGTGTGTGTGTTATTCAATTAACAGAAGACCGTTAGCGCTCAAGCATCCATGCTATCGGTCATAGGAAATGTGGGGGATGAATGAAAACAAAAACGAAAAGTACCATGAAAATATGGTTGAAAATATTTGTTACTCATAACTTTTTAATCTAATCGAAAATTCGCATTTTCCTAATCTTTTTGTTTTTCGATTGGATATCGTGGCAGAAAGCAAGAGATTTTACAATTATTGATCGGATTTGTTTGTTGTTCTCGGATTGCCTGAATGAAAAGAAAAACAGTGGTGAAATAATTTTGAGCGAAATATAACCAACCAAATGCTACGCCATTCGAACCCAATTTCATATGCACAGAATTTCAAATGTATATAAAGCAGAAAAAAAAACAAAGTAAAAATGGAATGAAAATCGCATGCTTTTACTTTTGCCCGTCATTGTGTAATGTAATACAGTCATGGAAATTTAATTAGGACCGGCATTGAAATTTCAGTTTTTTCCCATTAATTCTGTTATTTTACAAAAAAATATTCATGAAATGATGTTTATGAGAATATTTGAAGTTTTTATAAATGGACTAGAC